ACTACTATTTTACTCTTTTTTCTATTATTATACTATTCTACTTTCAACAATTTATTTTCTAGTAAATAATGAAATTTTCATTATACATTGTAACTAATAAATAAGATCATGTTCAAATTTTATATTATTGTTAAAATAATATTAATTTTCAGAGGAAGTAATATTAGCTGAAGAACGTACTACATCAGAAGAGAAAATACACATAATGGAATGTAAGTTTTAATTGGAAATACTTTTCAATTGTTTATATCTATAGTTTATTGACTTAAAATAATTCACATAAAAATATTATATATCGATTAATGATTTTTTTTATAAATTCAGCACGAAGAAGAACGGCAGCCAAAAGGAAAAAAATGAAGAAACTAGGGAAAAGTAAAAGCACAGACACTGAAGAAGAGGAACCTGAAGATGAAAGCGCTGAAGGTGACGACGGTAAGATACCAATTGAGATTTTATTGTAATAAATTTTCTTTTTTTTTCTTCTTAAAATAATTATATGCAAGGAATAGTTTTAAAGGAGTTACATTAATTACTATTGTTGAAATTTTCATTTGTCAAAGTTTAACATACTCCCTTATTTTATGAACTAATAGTGCCTCAGATAGACGTTTCTAGTGAAGTAACTATTGCTCATTCACAAGTTACTCGTAATATATTTTAAAAGTTTGGTATACATACGTACATTTTTTAAAATTAAATTTTTCTGTGAAAAATTACATGTTTGATTGGCCTAGCCTTCAGCTTTTTAACATCAAGTGTAATAATTATATTTCAAAATCGTTAATGTCTCTATCTTCAATTTCATCCAAAATATACAGAGTCGATGTCCTCTGCTTAATTGAAAATTACTTTATATTATAGTTATATTCATGTAACTCCTTATGAATTTTCATAATCTATAGATTTAGTATGATTTTTTCGAATTAACTTCTTTACAATTTTATATATTCTGAGGGAGCATGGAGTAATTTTTAGTGGTTACATTTTTCTCGTAAAATATATGAGATATGCAAATGAATTTTCATATAGAAAATATAATACGAGAAAATATAATACGCTCTATGCTCTTATCTTAATTTTAAACTACAACTTTATCTTACTGCATTCAGAATAGTAACTATAGGTATATTTTCTAACTATTTCACAAAAATTAATTAATCATCTCAATCAATAGATTTTTTTCTACTACTTTTTAAAAACTTTTAAAAATTCATATTATCTGTCGAATCAGGAAATTAATAAAAGATGTTAATTCTGATATCATGAAACATGTTTTACAAAATTTGTTTGAAATACTTTCTTGATTCAATAGATAGATTTTTTTTGTTAATGTATGTTTTTTTTAATCATTCTGATTTTTAATCATGATGTTTATGTCAATCACCAGTGCACAATTTTTGAATGTGAAAAATGAATGTTTCTTTCAGCACCGACGAAAAAGCTGAAAGGTACGCTGCGCAGATTATACCAAGTGGTATAGAATGAAATCATGACCATTCTAAATAACTGTAATATAAAAACCATCACTAAATATCTAACTATATAATCGTATTGAGAACATATTATTTGGATTTGTTTAGTTAACTACGGTTGCTTTTGAGGGAAAGAATTTTTGAGTCTGGTCAAAATTGGCTGCAAATATTTGTAAAATGTACTAAACTATTTCAGTATTTTTGTTTTACTATTTTCATAAAGCAATCTTGCTAACCGGTTCATGCATTATTGCAATTACTTTAAATTTAATTTAATTTAAATTTAAATTTAAATTTAAATTAAATTAAATTTAAATTTAAATTGAAATTAAATTTAAATTGAAATTTAATTTAAATTATTTTTCTCAATGGCAATCGTAGTTTTTCATAGCATCTGTAGGTGGCTGCCAGAACACCCGCGTGTAAATTACTGCTAATTGTTACTGTTTATCAGTATTATTGTTTTTTTGGTTGCTTAGGACTATTTCAACTAAAAGTTGAAACATTAAAACTTTGTGCTAAATTTAATAACGTTCGGAAAGATTCTGACAAATAAATACCCAATCCTAAAACGTACGTTTTGTTATTTGATACAAAAACACTACCGCAGAATTAAAGGCTGTGTCGAATTTGATTTGAGTATGCAAAATTATTATTGAAGATGAGCAGTATAAACTTAGAAGCTGATAATGAAAGTTCAAAGAAATTATTATATTCCACCTTTTCTCCTATGGATGTAAAACCTTATTGCTGCAGTAAATCAGTAACTTTATTCTTGCTACTAACAATTTTTTGCGAGGTGCTAAGATTAAAAAAATATATATAATATACAGATTTGAAACCAACCTAAATATCTTACCTAAATCATCAAAATTCAAATGAACAAGAAAACTTTATCTATATGAAACACTATTAACCAAGACCCAATGTTCTTCTTTCTTTTCACGTAAACTAGTCTTTACGTGAAAATAATATAAACTAAAACATCGGAGGATATTCCAATTGGTCGTTTTCTAACATCATCATACTAAATGATATAATATCTACTTTTTATACTTCTTCACATATATTGCCTACTATAACTTCACTATGATTTTACAGTAATCTCAAATACTATTACCAATATTGCATATTTATTTTAATATATTAGTAATAATTATCGTTTAAACATTTTTCAATTATGTTACAAATATAGTTTATTATAGATTTTATAGAAAACATTTAATAATTTGAATTTTTATCCATGTACATCAATTAGTTGTAGTAATTTTTTTATAGTTATTACGTAATACAGCTTACTAAATTAAACGTCATTACTTTTGGGGTATTTGTAAATAGATTTTCCCATTCCTATAGTGTAATGCTAAAAAGCAAATAATTCTAGAAATTTTTAATAAATATAGATAGAATCACGTAAGAAAATATCGCTTCATTTTGTGACTTGACTGTGAATTAAATTTGAGTGCCTAGTATCGAATATTAATGAATCATATTAAAATAGTATTGTGTATTGTTAGGGCTAGAATGTTTTCACATATAATTTTTTTTCTATCTTTATATCAAATTTGAAAGTATAAATTAATTTTCAATATAAACACTTTTTAATATAAATATTTTATTATTTTTGTTCAATGAAATGACATTCTAGCTCCTAAATATCTATTAGAGAGAATGTTACTATAGCGATTACGAGTGCATCACCTAGGTTAATCTAATTTAGGTTTAGGAAGAAATGTAGTGTATATCTGCTTTTGTAAATTGTTTTTATACTATGATATTCTGAGCAAATGTAATTAATACAAATTATACTTGAAAGTTCAGGATTCATAATATAAAAACATTAATGATAACAATGCACCTCACATCATAGATGAATTGAAAGAAACTTCTTTATTACTAAATGAAGTTTTCAATTCAATAAATCACTTTCACAACTATCACTATCATTTGTCATGAAATTACTAACACCATGCAATTTTTGTTTTACATTATCATAAAAATATCCAGATGAATATTAATGAAAAATTGTTCATTTTTGTCCAAAAAAATTTCTTGGTCAAAATTTCCAGTTTTAAATATCAATATACCGTTATGTCTCTCTTCAATAAAATAATATCATTTTTTTTTTCAAGTTATTTATATTAGTTTTTTTATCACACACCTGTGGCGTGTTTTGTTACCTATATTCTGACCAAGTTGTATGGAAAAACTTATCATTCTGTACACATGTAATTACATATATTTAATAGCTTCTAACTAACCTTGTAAACATGAATTTATTTCTAATTATATTTCATTTGAATGAGCTTTTGTTTGGCGAATAATGTAATATGAATGATCAACTAATTGTTATAAAAGCTTCACAAATTTATATATTAGTAACAAATAGATTCATTTGTGCATTTTTTTTCAAATTTTGATTTTTATATCTAATCAATCTCTCCGAAATGTGCATTTTTTTTCAAATTTTGAAATTACTAGTTCGCAATCTTATTATCAACGTCTGGATATTTTTACAACAAATATCATTATTATTTAGTTTTTACTGAAATGAACTAACTATTTCTATATTGTTGTGACCAATTGACTAAATAATTTTATTATGATGCAGGTTTTGGTAGGTCTGGTTACCTCCGCAGCGTCAGGGATCGCGGAAAATGCGCTGATTTTTGGCGGGCGGAAAAGCGATTTCGTTTCTGGATTCGCAAAACTGTGAAAGCCCAGTGGTTCTACTGGTTCGTCATAGTGTTAGTGTTTTTCAATACAGTCTGCGTTGCCGTCGAGCATTACGGACAGCCCGAATGGCTAACGCAATTTTTATGTAAGTAAAAATGATACTTTAAAACAGTGGTCGGGGAACTGGGGCAAATTTCTCCAAATGGGGTAAAAATGGACTTTTTGAGGGTAAAAAGTATGTGTTTCAGTTGATATTTACTGTATTTGTTACATAGTTCTCCGTAAGTGGGTAAAGCTTTCTTTGCCATGGGGGTATTATCTACTTATTGTTAGACAAAATATTTAGGAGTAATGATTAAAAAAGTTCCCCAACCGCTGCTTTAAAACAAACTTCTAAGGTTAAAATTGTAAGTAATTTTGTAGGATAAATTATATAAGATTAGTTTTTCTCTTTTCACATTAGTTATGTCACAACTAGTTATTGATGGTAGCTATCATTTAACATTGGAAACAAATTTTTTTGAGTTTCACAGTTAGGAGATGGAACTATTTCTTGGTGCGATCTTCGAATATTTTAAAATCTGAATGAAAAATAACGTTAAACGGCATGACTTTGTATCATACTTTAGATTTTATTACAAACTAGATGACACGACACACATTGTCCTGTACTTTAGTTTACAATTCAAAAGTTCCTTTTTTATAATCTATGCTGATATTTACCAATTGGTTAAAAATTATTGTTTTTTTTACACTACAGTCTACACCGAAATGTATATACATCCACCCATATGGATCTTAAATGTACAACTGCTTTAAATAAAATGATGAGAATTTGCTTTTTCTTATAATTAGTTCTCTTATCGATAACCGACGTTATTTGAAAAAAAGGAAATTACACAACTGAGCGCGAAATGGCAAAGGAGTCTAAATTATTTTCACTTTTGAACTTGAAAGTAAGATAAACCTAATTTCATAATTTCATACAAATTGGAGCACAGTAAAAAAATCAGACCCAAAGCGCTCCATTGACTTGAGTAAATATTCCGTACCCGATGGCAAAAATATGTAAATACTAACGTTAGTATGTGAAAAAAGGGCTGTTTTAGGATTTTCCCGGCAATTATTCGATTTTTTCTCGCCTTTAGAACCATCCTTGTACTTCAACAAACATTTTAAAAAATAATTGGCCAAATTGGTTCAGGCGTTGTTGAGTTATGCGCTTACCAACACATTTTGTGATTCATTTTTATATATATAAGATTAAGCACCAAAATTGTGACCATTTATCGGTCAAGATTTGACAATGATTTTTGTATTTAACCCGAGACCCTTCGAGGCAGGAAGTATAATGTATGCATACAAATACCTGGACTTGAAATACAAAAACCCTGATCAAATCTTGACCATTCATAAATATTCATATTTATATTTATTAATGGGTTTTAAAGTATTTTTAAATTAGACTATATATTAATACAATATTTTTTCTCAGATTATACCGAATTTGTGTTCCTGGGTTTGTTCATGATGGAAATGTGGATAAAAATGTACGCGCTGGGCCCGCGGATATACTTCGAGTCTTCGTTTAACAAGTTCGATTGTGTCGTTATTAGTGGCTCGATATTTGAGGTAATGAACTTAATTTACCGTCATATGTCAGCTAGATTAATAGTCAATCAATTTTTTAAATTTATATTATGTATTTATCTCAAAACAAATCTGTGAAATCAATTTAATTCCGTCTATTTTCATGTCTATAAAAGCATGCCTTTAAGCACAGCTAATTTTGAGTATAATAATCAGATATTCATGTTTAAACCGATTTCTTCCATATTGTAAAATTTATTTCTAAAAATATTTAACACAGAAGGTTATTTCTTTTATTCTGTTCAAGATTTTCACGATGTCAAGTATCCTCATTAATAAAGTTGGGCTTATTCTAGGTGATATGGTCAGCTGTGAAGTCTGGTTCTTTCGGCTTGTCCGTGCTTCGCGCTCTACGTTTACTCAGGATATTCAAAGTAACGAAGTATTGGGCTTCTTTGAGGAATCTAGTCATTTCGCTGCTAAATTCCATGAGATCCATTATTTCATTGCTGTTCCTGCTGTTCTTGTTCATCCTGATATTCGCTTTACTTGGGATGCAACTTTTCGGAGGACAGTTTAATTTTCCAGATGGGACGCCGGCGACCAATTTCAATACGTTTCCTATTGCGCTGCTTACGGTCTTCCAGGTAAGGCCAAAATATAAAAACATATTATGGTAATTAAATCATATTTTCAAATCTTATATATTGCACTATTGGTATATAATTCCATAATTTTGTGAAAAATGTGAAAATATAATGCAATTGATAATGTTGATAATTATATAAATTACAGATATTGACTGGAGAAGATTGGAATGAAGTAATGTACCAGGGAATAGCTTCGCAAGGAGGGCCAAGTGATGGAATGATTTATTCTTTATATTTTATCATTCTTGTATTGTTTGGCAACTATACCCTGTTAAATGTGTTCTTGGCTATCGCCGTCGATAATTTGGCGAATGCTCAAGTAAGTAGTAATAAAACTTATTCCCCATATGCGTAGTATAAATCTTGTCTATCACAATTCCTATTATTTGAACCTAATTATTTTAATTATTTTTTAGGAACTAACAGCAGCTGAAGCAATTCAGGAGGAAGAAAATAAAGAAAAACAGCTGCAAGAACTTGAGAAAGAAATGGAAGCATTACACGTAGACGGATCACCGCCAAGAGTTGATGGACTCGCATCGTCGCCAACGTCGAAAACGAAAGTAAGCATTGAAATTTTAATTTATATAATGATGATTTGGTTTTAATTTTCATTCATAATATAGAAGAAAGAGGAAGAAATAAAAATAGAAGAAGAGGAGGACATCACCGATGGACCAAAACCCATGTTGCCATATTCATCTATGTTTATTTTATCAACGACCAATCCGTAAGTATAGTCTAACAATACATATTTTATTTACCTATATTATTAAAGTTAACTTATGAAATAATGTTTCATTCTAGCATACGACGTGCAGCGCATTGGGTCGTTAATCTTCGTTATTTTGACTTTTTTATCATGGTAGTGATCAGTTTAAGTTCAATAGCCTTAGCCTGTGAGGATCCCGTGGTCGAATTTTCGACGAGAAATATTATATTAAATTATTTCGATTATGCGTTCACGTGTGTCTTCACGATAGAGATGGTGCTGAAGATATTGGATTTAGGAGTTATTCTGCATCCTGGATCCTATCTTAGAGAATTTTGGAATATCATGGATGCAGTGGTCGTAATTTGTGCGGCATTGTCCTTTGGTTTCGAAATAACGTAAGAAAATATATACTAAGTGGCTAATCATACTCTCATTTCCTTAGTAACATGTTTTCAATATTTGTTTGATATGTTGGTAAATGATAGAAATAAATAGTAAATTTTTATCCATATTCCTTTCAAAAGTGATTTTTTTTTTTCTCCAGCGGAAGCCCGGCCGTGCAGAATCTATCCATGATAAAATCGCTTCGAGTTCTTCGAGTTCTTCGGCCTCTGAAGACCATAAAGCGCGTTCCAAAGCTGAAGGCGGTGTTCGACTGCGTCGTTAATTCATTAAAGAACGTCATCAACATTCTCATCGTGTATATATTATTTCAGTTCATTTTTGCTGTCATCGCTGTGCAATTGTTCAACGGAAAATTTTTCTACTGCACCGATGAAAGTAAACACACTTTCGAAGAATGCCAGTGAGTATATTAAAACATCTAAAAAATTAAAATTATGGTAACATATATATATATTATTATTATATTTATGATTCATAAAAGTTTTATCCGATTCTTCTCTTATACAATATTGTCAATTTATTAATTAAACTAGTGGGATGTATGGCATCGTGCCTTAAGGCAAATTGCTGGAAATTCCCGTACCGTACCGAAATGTTCGAGGAATGTTTCGACTGAATGTTTTCAAATAGATTATTATTAATATTGTAACATTGTCTAATATTTATAAGAATTATATAAACTGAATTGCAAAGTTGAAATTATTTGTTTACAGTATATTAGAATCTGAATGTGAATTATTTTCGATACACAAAAAAATTTTATTTTGAAAAAAAAAAAGTTGACACAATTTTTTTTTCCAAAATCAATTATTTTGTTAAGACAAGCAGAAAGTTCTTTGAATCATTTAAATCTAACGTTTAGTTTTCTCTCAAAAACTGCCATTTGTTACATATTTATCTCCGTAACTTCGAAATGGCTGGACCTGCCTTTGACAAAAACTAATCAGCTCTTCTCCCTATCAATAGAAATCCAATGTTTTTTGAACCATTCAAATCGGTTGATCCGTGCGCTCGAAAACGTGACTGGAAATTTGTATCCATGCACACATGCACACACACATCCATTTTTTCTGATGTATGCCAAAATGTTCAGAAACCTTCAAAGCGTCAAGAAATGTAAAAATTTTCAATTTCGATTTTCTGCCCAACCTACCCTACGGGAAGTTAAAATCATTAGACATTAAGACCGAGCTTTCCATAACTATTCAGATCTTCATAATACGTATATTTGCTTTCGTGAGATGCCTCTAATCAGAAAAATTGAATATTAATTTGTTTAAAATGTGGTATTTGGTAAAGATGCACAAACATATATTCATACACACATACACGTATATATTAGTCTACGGGAAGTTTTCGACGTGGAACGTTCAGATTTATTTTAGTGAAATTTATTACCCTAAGAAAGTATAGATTACTTCTAATTTCTAAAATATTGAAAATATGCTATCTCAAATATATTTATACATCTACAAAATCATAATTGTTATTAATTGGGTATTAACCAAAATTTTGAATATTTCAGAGGTTCGTATTTTAAATTTGATAACGATGGGCCACCCAAACGCGAGGAAAGAAAATGGGAGGCACAAAGTTTTCACTACAATAATGTTGCAAGTGCTATGTTGACTTTATTTGCTGTACAGACGGGGGAAGGATGGCCACAGTAAGAAACATTACTGTCTAATTTCTCAATTTAACATTTTAATTCTAAATAATTCAAACAATTTAATTAAAAGTCCTAGTATTAACTAGTATACCAGCAATTTTTTCTAAAGGTTTTTGCATGAGATTAACTGTTGTCTGTTCTGTACAGATTCATTCCTAAAATTGTCTTTAAAATTATAGAGTGCTTCAAAATTCAATGGCTGCGACTTATGAAGATATGGGTCCTATACAAAATTTTCGGATAGAAATGTCTATTTTCTACATAGTGTATTTCGTAGTGTTTCCTTTCTTCTTCGTCAACATATTCGTTGCCTTGATTATTATTACGTTTCAAGAGCAAGGCGAAGCAGAATTGCAAGACGGAGAAATAGATAAAAATCAGGTAAGAATTGGGCCTTTGGTTATCAAACATACATTTTTTTAGGTATCATTCTAAATTATTTATATATTATAATTTATTTATATTTCTTTTAGAAATCTGTATAGATTTTACGATAGGGGCAAGACCTCTCGAGCGATACATGCCAAGTAATCGCGGAAGTTTTAAGTACAAAGTTTGGAGAATAGTAGTATCAACGCCATTCGAATATTTATAATGATGTTGATTGTCTTTAACACGTTATTGCTGATGATGAAGGTAAGCCATAATTAAAATCATTTATTAAAAATATAAAAAATTTAATTTAATCATTCTGACTAAATCAAATCAAACTTGATTCACCTAATATGCTTACAATTAGTTAACAATTAATTTTTTTAATCACGATTTATGTTTACTTCGAAAGTATTCAATCAAACTTAAAATTTATACAATCAAAATGAAATTTAATTTTTTTAAATTTAACAGATTTTAATTAATTTTAAAATTTTACAGATTTAATTTTTATTTTAAATTTTACAATTTTTGATTAATTTTTACGATATATAACAAAAATGTTTATTTTCAGGATATAATTATATTGAGATATATGCAATATTTAAAATTAATCGTTGATATACATCGATATCGATTATAAATAAATGTTACATATAAATAAAATATAAATAACTGCTAATGCAAGAACGTACATTACAAATTGTAAAAATTGTATACAGTTTGAGAATTTCGTTTTGTTTGAAAAAATCTCTGATTATTTTACCATCTGCAAAATATTTTATTCGATAATTTTAAAAATACGAACTAAAGACGTGAAAGTCTAAATCATATTTTTTATCATAATCTGAATTTATTAATTCGTTATACATAAGTAATATTGTTGCATATATTTCAATCATTATAATGTATTTTTGATGTTCACAAATGTATTGCAATTATTTAAGCACAACATATCAATTAGAAAAATGGCTTCACTTATGGGTTTAAAACACTAAGGAGAAAAGAATATAATGCACTTAAATACTGGGTCACAATACACAATGAAAAAAAAACATTACTTAACATGCACTATTTTTACCAGCCAACATTATATGAACTTTTGCTGTATATTAGAAGTGGTATCATGTTTGCAATTTAATAATTTTAGCTCAAACTGTTTCAAGTGAATTACATTTCATCAGACTATTCAAATATCACATCCATTTCGTCTAAATTTATGTCAAATATTATCAAATCAAAAAAAGCAAAATGTACCTTTCAGAGTTTAATGGGTGTCATTTTATAGTAAGAGAACGTACTTTTTTCAATAGACAGTTCAAAAGCTTTTTAGAACACTTGAATTACTTAATTCAATTTATACAAAAAATTATAGCTTAATTATTTGTTAATGCTGCCGATCCACGTGTTGCAATTCAATGGTGAACAAAATTTTAGTATTTTTATTTAAGAATTCTTAATTTCCATACAATATACAGCAATGGTTGGTTAACATTATTACACTACAACAAGAACATGTATGATACAAACAATGCTTCATATGCTTCAACAAGCTTTATATCTCAAAGCTACAAAGCAAACGCTGGCAAATTCAATAAAAGCTTTCGTTCAATCTTAAAAAATCTGAAAAACGCTTTCGATCGTTAAATTTACTAAACGCTTAAGTATTTTTGCATGCAGATTTTGCTGTGACTAGAGTATTTTTCTTAGTTTCTGGCGATGTACAATATATCATTAGAATATCATGAAAAAAATTAAATAGAAGTTCATTATCTAGCAACTTATGAACAATCACTAGTAGTTAAATTTTTTTTTAGTAAAAGCTCTTTTTAGAAAAAATAAAAACTTTGATACATAAAAGGAACAAAATAGTAATAAAAAGAAATGAAAATTAAAAGTAAATATTAAAAGCCAGATTGTAACTTACACACATTTTTATTATTTTTACTTTTATTTGAGTGCTGTGATTTGTTATTGTGATCGCACCCCACGTCAAATTTTTTACTAAGTGTCGTGAGCACAAGATATTTTAGTCTTTTTAAAATACTCGAATTATTATTTCCACAGCTGCAAATTTTCATTTTGTGTATGTCATTGTCACTACTTTCATTTCAATTATAACTGTTGTCTTATAATAGTGGTGAATTATTTAAATAAATAAATACTTGATGATACCTTTTCGTTGTACCAATATCTATTATAAAAAAATAAGTCGGGTTTTCCTTCCTGACGATATAACTCCAGAACGCACGAACCGATTTCGACGATTTTGCATTTGTTGGAAAGGTCTCGGGCTGCGTGAGGTTCATAGCAAAGGAAATTGAAAGAAGATTTTAATAGAAAAGCGGAAAACACTTTTTCTGTTTTCACATACAGCGTCATCTCGGATACTTAGCATGCACTACAAACTAATATTTATTTGACCGCTACTCATTTGTTTGACAGCTACTCATTGTTCTCTGCTCAGTTAATTCATGTGACAAACCGGCATTGTGTTCACTGTGAAATTGTGCAAAAAAGTAAAAAAATAAGTTATTTTTTCCTAACATTTCAATTGGAAACTATCAAATCAATCACGTTTATTGTGCAAATTTTTATTCAATTTCAACAGCAGGCAATTTTTTTCTTTTTTTAATTACCAAACGAAATGTTACATAAAATAAAACCATCTGGTGGTGAAACGGAGTTCGCCCGGTTTGCTAGCAAATTTATAAAATAAGAAGCTTCAACAATTTAACTATAGACTCGGTGCCTTGTATCTGATAATATCATACTGACGTTGATATCATAAATCATATATTAATTATGTAGGGTAAAATGGTTTCCTTTGCAAGATTCAAACTATTGTTTGAATACTATTATTAAAGTTTTATTACCCATGAAACTTGGTATTTGAAAACGGCAAATTAGTATGTATATTAACAACGATATGAACAATATTAGTAAAGTACCTCGTATAGATTTTTCATTTTATCATATCATTTATAGATAATTCAAATAAATTTGCAATAATCATGACCTTACTGTATCATACTTTAGACTAGGGAATACCAGTATACCGGTATATCGGAAAAACTATACCGGTATTCCGGATTGATGTTAAACTTGAATTAATCACAACCATTTGAACTTTAAATCTCATAATCGCTTAAACCAAATGTTTCGTTAGGTCGTTCTATTGTATAAACAACTATCAAAATATTATCTCGACCCGTCATTAAACTCCCTATCATGTCACAATGAATAGAATTCTGAAAAAAAATGTAACCGCTAAATTAATTATTATTAATTATATTATATCATCAATACCAGCTTACTACAGGGTAATCTTTACCTTTGTTCTAAATTTATACAAATTAATCATAATAATTACTGAAAGTTTTTGTTATTAAAAACAAGGTTGTATTTCAATCTTGAAAAATGTAAATCTCAACAACTATAAAATATAAACTATCACATTTCAAAAATAGTGACGGACTATTATATTGTTTAAATAAAAATACTCAACGAATATAATCGTATTAGGAGATTTTTCATATTATTTAATAAGAACATATTAAATTAGCTTGCAGTGGCTAATATCAAGATATAATTTTCATATTAATTGGTTTTATTATATTTAGACAATTTTCTTAACTTTTTTATAATAAAATAGTACAGTAGTACCAAATGTACAATGAGTAAATTTAAAAATGACATACACAATTAGCAGCTTGAAGCTTTTACATCTCGTTTTGTTTTGTATCTCTATAACCGTATTTCTAAACGTTTCAAAACTCTGAATTTATTCAACTTCAACAATTTATCTATAACTTTTTGCGTATTATGCACCAATTAGTGTAATAGTATATTTAATTTAAACTATAAAGTACATAAACTACACACAGGCACAAATTCAATATTTTATCTTACTCTTATAGGCACTTAATTTTTAACACAAAATATATACTAACACTATTAACATATTAAATCAAATTATAAATTAGTAAGTAGAAAATAAAAGATATAATAGTTCTATTTAAAATTACGATTGTAGACAAGTAGCGATGGCATAGTTGTCATCTATTTAACGATTTTTATATTATATTCATTTCGTGTAGTATCACAAACAATCAAAACTCTATGAAGAAATATTGAAAAACGCAAATTACGGATTTATTGGAATGTTCACAATAGAAACTATCATGAAGATTTTAGCGTACGGTGCAAGAGTAAGTACATTGTAGAATCGAAGAGAAAGAACAGATTTTTAGAATACTATTAACATGGTCATGTAATTGGCAAATTAAATAAATATATAGACTCCAAAATATTAGTTATCTTATGTAATGGCCATATTAATTAGTTTGTAATAGAAAAAATAGTGAATAATAGAAATTTAATTGAATTAACCTAAAAAATCAATTTTCAAATTTCATAGCAAATATCAAACATTGATATCGTTCAAAACAAGAAATTGTGCATCACATTACACAAATTTTTATATTTCAAACACGTGACCGACTAATCTATTAATCACTAATTTTGAAATTAATTAGCTTAGTAATTAGGAGCAGGTTTTGCTATGAAATTATTAATAAAATCCCGAAAGTATTCAATGATAACATCCTATCCAAACATAATCGAACATAATTCCTCCACACCACATTTATTTAAAAATATATCTATCATCTAATTGGGCAGTGTTGTCTTTTGCATGATTGTAAGCCAAAATGTTGAAAGAGACTTTAGTTAAACAAAATTCACGTTTTAAGCAATATGCTGAGCGCAAAATATGCATGTTTGTCTTTATGTTTTGCATGTTTGTTACTATTGTGTAAATATAAAGCACAGCAAAAACACAGTTATACTTGTTTACTATTTTAGTTAGTAGAAAGAACGACGACGGACAAAATAAAATTAATGGAATAGCATAAAATTGGGTAATGGGTATTATATGTTATTGTGATATAATATCATTGTTCTTGGAAATATATTGGTCGAAAGGGCAATTAACCCTTTCGACTCGGCGCCGTTCCGGCAGCAAAATTCATATAAATCTCGGAATTTGTAGAAAGGGTTAATTTTTTATTCCTGTTACGTTTTTTGATTTAGTACTATTTTTTCTGTTAAATTAGTACAGCGACTGGGTAGCACCCAGGCAATTTTCACTTAGCTTAAATTAAAATAATTCGATTAGTTGTCAATTTGTAAGGTACTTGATTCTGTTTCCTATCTAAGATTTGCAGTATATTTCCCATGATCAATGATGTGTATCATTTTCCAATAAACCAACGTTAAATCCGTGACTATAAAATTATTATGAAATAACTACGTTTCGACATGCCAAATATATTTTGCTAAGGAGAAGACACATTCGTATTTTAGTTTCACAATGCTCCGACTGGATTAACAACAGTGTTGAAGTTCATGAATTTGGTATTCACCGGACTATTTCTTATGGAGACCATTATGAAGATTTTGGCATTCGGATGCAAGGTAGTTACAAAATTTACTCGATGTTGTGACTGATTTCAGGAATTTATGAAGATTCAAATATAATCCAACTTTCTAAAGTATATTTAAGATTAAAATAGAAAATTTCAGTTGTCTACATATTATAGCCGGAATGAGTTTGATTTAGGTTTCTATTTAGTTTAGGACATTATTTACAGGAACTTGATATTTTAATTAGTAGCTATATTATCAGGATTAGGATTCCATAAAAATAGTTGTAGTTGCGATAAACATTGTCGGTAATGCACAAAAGTGCGCTGATATTCAAGTTATTGTTATAGGTTTTCTATTTGATAATACTTAATATTGGTTTTTCTTGCAGACATAGTTGAATAATTATTTTGCGAAGTATTTCTATTATTATGTATGAAAATCAATTATAAATGTTTTTTTTATTTTTGACAATGTATGAAATAAAAGTTAATTAGACCTATTCATAAAGTTCTTGAATTCTTGAAATGTACTTGAATTAAAATATTAATATTCAAGGGGCACAACCAGTGTGAAATTTTCAAAAAATCAAATTTTCAATTTTTTCATATTTTGATAGGTTATACCTTTAAAAATAACATACCAAGATTTTAAATCGATATCTTAAATAGTTTTTGAGTCACAGCCATTTAAAAAGTATATATATAGTATATAGTATAACGGTCATTTAATCTTTGAACGCGTTTTTCTCGAAACAGCATTTTCCGAATTTGCTGCAGCGATTACTCAAAAACAAATGATCCGATCACCATCAATTTTTCTTACGTTCTATATATAGTTCTCCGTAAAATGAACTATCGATTTTTTGATCGGATCTAAAATCGAATTTTGGCTGTCCAAAAACGACCAAAATCTTGGGTAAAATTCGATTTTTTTTAAGAAACGCCGTCATTTTGTCAATTTTTTATTTTTTTTTCTTTATCGTAGTTCATTTTACAAACAATATTATCTAGTTTAATGAGATTTTTTTTAAATTTCATCCACGTAGAAGGCCGGAATCACTGCTGCAATGAAGGCCTTTTTTTTGTCGCGCCGTTGGATATCGACGATAACTTAAAAAATATTGAATTTTTTTTCTTCAAAAATTTTACTATCTATTCCTAAAACATGTATAAATATATTCCTAAAATTTTGAAATGATTGATGAAGTAGTTTTTTTTTAATATAAATTCCAGAAATTAATTATAATTTAAAATTTATATGTAAAACCATCTTACTTATAGCATAGTTATTTTAAATTAGCGAGAGGTATACATTATTTATTTATTTTTTAATACTTTATGCGTGCATGAGAACTTGGGTCCTTATCTCTTTAGTACTAACTTCAATCTAGCAAATATTTCATTAAAATCTAAATCTAAAATATTAGTCTTTTAATAAATAATTCAATCGCTTTGTTAATTAGTATTCAGAGTATAATAGATTTAAATCAGGCGATTTAATACATAGAATAAACCATATTCTTCTAAAATGGAACGGATAAGTTTTTTTTTTTAAATATAGTAATTTTAGGAGCATGAAATATTTTCGGAAACGGTGTGAATATTTGAATTAACTTAAAAACTATATATTATGAAAAGGTAGGTGGTTAAAGCAGTAGTGGGACACCGTATTATTATATTTAAAATTTATCTTAGGCTTACAACAAGAATAATTTTGTACCGTGCAATTTGTAGTACTAATACAATAAAGTATTTTTTTTTAATAAAGTATAATGTAATAAAATTGGGATAATTATATAGAGTTTATTAACACAGCAGCATGTTTGAGTTTTGAGGTTTAAGTAAGGTTAATGAGTATTTCCACTACCAATTTGGGTATTAACATTCCATCATTAAATTAAATTTGTACCTACTCTATTTTAATTAGAGGTAGCTAGACTTTATATAGTTGTATTGACCCCTTAGATCCCGATTTAATTTAAAATATTGTGCACTGATCCAAACTCCTGTAAATTCATACTTCAGCAATAGAATTTGGAAACAATGAATTCTATTAATACAATTTTAACATTATTTTTTGGTATATGTGAATTTGAAATATGAGGTAGAAAAAATAATCATATTTCAGGTTCTGGTTCAGGTTCAGTTAAAATGTAATAGTAATAACTATTTATCTACTAATTCATTTGATGTACCCTGTCATAATATCCAAGTTCCTTAAAATTCATTCCACTGAAACGTTACCTTTATTGCAATGTAATTATAATAAAATTAATTACTAACAACTTAAGATACTCAAAGGACTTTGAAATATAACAAAAACTTTACACGATAAAATATTTTAGGAAATATTAATTTATGTTCAGAGTTTGCGTATATTGTGAGTATATTCTGACAATACAATATACTTAATATTTGAAAAATTAGTATATGTGGTTCTGGAAAAGTGATTTTACTCGTTTAATAGTTTGCAAATTACTTTTTCAAATTATCTTAAGTTTTTTATTGTTAGAAAAACATATTAGCTCTGGCCTTACTATCATACAAAATTAATATGAAAATTGTTGTTAGTAATCGCTCTGTATTATTTTTCTCCATTTAGTTATTTCAGAGTTCTTTGAGCATTGATTATAAGGGCATGTACATAATACTAATTAAATATTTTATACAGAATTTCTTCAAAGATCCGTGGAACACATTTGATTTCATAACTGTCATCGGAAGCATTATAGACGCACTTGTGGCCGAAATTGGGGTAAGCTAAATCATTCTAATCTATTTCAATAATATATATATATATATATATATATATATATATATATATATATGTATGTATGTATAACTAGACATTCGTTTGTACAACATTGATACTTTTTGTGAAACGATTTCATATGGTACATTGAATCAAAAGCTTAAAATATCATTCAAAAACTTAAATCAGGAAAACTGCAAAACAGAATAAAATACGTCCAGTACCTGCATGATTTTATATCTAATAATTAAGTTTGTAAGGTAATACATATTTTAAAAAAAATACCTAAAGGAAATCCATTTTACCTGAGCTAGAATCAGAAAAATGGCTCTGAATAAGTTTGATATCAAAATGATGTAAAAGTACACTTAATGGAATAGAGACAAATTGCAAATGATAAGAACTAATAGCTAAGAGAGATGATCTATACCAAATGGGTATAAGCCTTTATATATATATATATATATATATATATATATAAATATAAATGTAGGTTTAGATTTTTGCATAAATTCTGCTGCATAAGAGACCTATGTAATGGCAAGGCTATGTTATGAAGAACTTTCCATAAATATTAACAAAAGCGATGTGATTGCTATGCACTCAGGTGTTTTCCTCAGGTTGTCAGATAGAAAGCTTAACTTAGAAACCGCACAAATGTCAAAAAACTATCTTAGATGACATGGTCTTTCTCAGCCGGCTTCATAAGATAAAATTGACATTGCAGTTTATGTGTAAAACGCCTGAATGCAACTACATGACGTTATTGATAGTATTCAGTATGATTCAGTAGCATAATGTATGGAAGTTGGAGCGTAACATGGCCTTGTCATAACAAATCTAGCATTTATTATAATAAAATCAATATTTTTAGTTTATTAAGTATTATTTATTAATTGTTCAGGCAAATCAAGATAATCCCTTCAACGTTGGCTTTCTGCGTTTGTTTCGAGCAGCACGTTTAATAAAATTGTTGAGGCAGGGTTACACGATACGAATATTGCTGTGGACGTTCGTTCAGTCTTTCAAAGCACTGCCGTATGTTTGTCTTCTCATTGCCATGCTCTTCTTCATATATGCCATCATCGGGATGCAGGTAAAAAAATGTTCAAAAATTACAATTTTACAATTCAATTTTAAAATATAAAATTAAAATTATTTCTTATTTCAAATTTTATATTCAATTATTTCACCTAATAATAAAATACTATATCCTTCCTGCAGGTGTTCGGAAATATACAGTTGGATCCTGAATCGTCAATTACGAGGCATAATAACTTTCAAAGTTTTGTGCAAGGGTTGATGTTACTATTTAGGTAACGATATTTAATCACAATTGTTAATTCAATATAAAGTATTAATTGATTCAATAATGTCATAAATTCATTATCAGATGTGCCACAGGAGAATCATGGCCGAACATAATGCTTTCGTGCCTGAAAGGCCAGCCTTGTGATCCTTTAGCTAATAAAGGCGACGGGGTTACCTGCGGTTCTAGTTTAGCATATGTTTATTTCGTCTCGTTCATATTTTTTTGTTCGTTTCTGGTAAGTAGAATCTGTAAAATAATATATAATTTACTTAAAATTATCGTCAATAATTATATTGAAAATTCTATGACAATATAAATTTTGTTAAAATCGTTTATTGTGACTTCTGACTACATGACAAACTCCATATCTGACTTGTTCTTGTTTGACTTGATTTTGCAGAACATATGTATTTTTATTGACCATAATCACAAATATTGTCCAGTAAAAACACGTAATTAATTTTTTAGATGTTGAACTTGTTCGTTGCCGTTATCATGGACAACTTCGACTATTTAACGAGAGATTCCTCAATTTTGGGCGCTCATCATCTCGACGAATATGTGCGCATATGGGCGGAATATGATCCTAATGCTACGTAAGTGCTTTATGATATTTCTGTGATTTTTTATATGATAAAAGAGTGGGCGTAAGGTTCAAACGCGATTGAAGTAAAACTTTTTTGCTACTGTACAAAGAAGCTTTAAGTTAAATAAAAATAAATACATCTTATAACAATTTTGAATATTGTTTATTAGTGATATGGTGACACTCGTGATACACATATTTATTAGTGTCAAGCATTACACACATTTATATAATGATAAATTATAAATTATATATTTATAGTAGCATTAAAAATATGTATAATATTTAGAAACAATAATGTAATTAAAGCTATACTTCAAATATGACATGATCGGTTTGTCATTGTAATTAGCATTTAGAAATGAACCTTTATTAGAGAAATAAAGTAATTGCTGATTAATAGCTTCTATAATATTCGTTAATACAGTGATTATCGTAAACAACGCCTAAACAAATATTGTTTTTGCAACTTCACTCATCATGTAGTAATTGTGTTTGAAGAACTGATGGTATTTTTTTTACTTTTTCGCTGGCGATATAATCTCATTCTTTGAATAGCTGTAATATCTGTCTTGCCTAAAAAATGTTTTCCATTTTAATAATTTCAAAGATTTATAGAAACTACGAATAATATAAAAATAATTTCTAATCAATAAACTTACGTTTAGTTCACGGCACAAATGTTTAATTTGTTTTATTATTTTCAAGGAAAAGTGCAAAATATTCTTCTGATTCAGGCATTTTTCATTAAATCAAGATTTGTACTACGATGTAACTTTAAAATGTTTATTTATCTATACCGATTTCCTTGTTGTTAGCGGTACGCATACAACGACAGATCTCTATTCACATACACGACGACTAATCACAATCGACCCGTATAGAAATGATTCCATAGAACGCGAATGATGTACAGTTCTGCTGTAACGCATTTTCGTTGCATTTGTACGGATTTACACTCTAGTTTTACTTCAAAGCAATTTTACTCAAAAAAAAATTGAAATTGGATGAGTGATTTAATCGTTTACTTAGAGTAATCAATTCATCAATTACCATTGTTTTTTTTTTGAGATTACAATCTAATCAATCTTGTTATTCCAGTGGCAAAATTCACTATACAGAGATGTACGATATGCTGAAGAATATGGACCCTCCGTTGGGGTTCGGTAACAAGTGCCCTAATAGATTAGCCTACAAACGTCTGATTAGAATGAATATGCCAGTAGACGCAGATGGAAAAGTCAATTTCACGACGACTCTGTTTGCACTCATTAGGGAAAATTTAAGTATCAAAATGAGAAATCGTGAGTAACATCCAAAATTTGATTTTTAACTAAAACAGTATCATGCTGAACAAGTTCAATAATTATTAAATTTTTCTACAGCGGATGAAATGGACAAGGCAGATGAAGAACTGCGAGTAACTGTAACCCATATTTGGCCTTTACAAGCTAAGAAAATGTTAGATTTACTAATACCGCGAAAAAGTGAGCTGAATGCTGGAAAATTGACAGTTGGGAAAATTTATGCCGGGATGTTAATTTTGGAAAGTTGGCGGACCACGAGGTTTGGCCAAATTGAACCAGCTGGTGTACCGGTAAGCAAAATAATTGTTTTATATTGATTAAAAAAACTAATGATTACGTAACCAATATATGATTTAATCGTCTTACGTCACACAGAACATTTTTTACTATATTATATTTTAAGTTTTTTTTTTGTTCAATTATGATAAGCGTCTAAAATGTATTCGTTCATCGTTATATTTAAATATGTGTGTTAAAATCTGTCATTGTGTAGCAAATGTGTTTTGTTAATATATGTGTAGTAAATGTTACTACCTTTCAATACGTAATATTCAATATTGAACTACATATTTTATTAGAACTTAATCCAAATTCACCGCAAAATAACAAAATTTATTTTTTAAGTACAAATATGCTAGATACTTGTTTTATTTTTTCTCAAAAAGCAAAGGTAAATAATTTGGCAAAGAAGTCATTTTTATTTAATTTAAAATATCAAGTATCAATATATTATCTACAAGCAATTAAAAATTTTTAACTCAAAATATTTATATTAACGTGATCCACCAACCCCCGTAGAAACGTAAATATGTTGTTCCTCTCATAGTACGTACCAGTTCTATTTTTTGGTAGTTACCTTAACCTACCTGTACGTTTTTAGTATTTGTTGTGTAAAACCAATATAGATATCTTTAGAGTAATGTGTAGCGTCCAGTAAAGTGATTATTTTGTTTTGTTCACGCACTTTTTTTGAATTACCAAAATGACCAATTCTACCCAATTACGATGTTATTTTCAGGCGTATGATGGCCATAGCCCCACCGCCACACAACCGGTATTTATTTTAGAGTTTGCCTATTTCTTTTATTAAATTATCTTTAAAACAATGCACTATTTTTATTTCAATTTTTATTTTAGTTTCAATATTTAAAATTAAAAATAGATTACTTATAATGAATAGTTTAGGTATGGAATGATACTGCGTTTGACATTTTGGTAGTAAAATGATTTTTATTTTCTAAATTTTTTAGATTATATTTACAAAGATACTAATTACATTTACGGAGATAATATACAGCGCTTAATTAATAATTCGATTTTTTTTATTAATTACTGGAACCAAAATGTCTATGCGTTAGATTATTCAATCATAGTATCGCTTTGGAATGATTTAAACGCTCATGAAATTAAAAAATATATATATATGAAATTATCAAGAACCTATTTTTACACACTCATTATATATTAAAAATATACAACATTTATTATCTCTAATTATTTCTAGAAAATTTCAGTTCATTTTTCCTTGAAATGAAATTATCAAGAACCTATTTTTACACACTCATTATATATTAAAAATATACAACATTTATTATCGCTAATTATTTATAGAAAATTTCAGTTCATTTTTCATCACTTACATCGATTAATATGCATTTGAATTTGGCGCGGTAAATATTGATCGTATAAATTGTTATATTTGATACTTCATGTCAAAGATTATTTTTAATTATTATGAATTATTTTTCATTAATATAATAAAATTTCACATGATGAAGAAAATACATAGAGATTTGTTCAATAAAAGTTTATTTCAATTTTAATCATTTTGGAATTCGGTTAGAAAAAAAGTCTACTTACACTCCTAGTAATTAATTAACATTTTTAAAATATGAACCTTTGTACAGAAATCATTTGACTAAAGTTTCTATTAAGTAGACTTGCGTTTTAGTAGGATATAAAATTTTAACTGCAAATATAATAATTAAAAAAACACCAAATATAAATGCTAATATAACTTTAAAGTGAACCTAATGAGCTCATATATTAATGCTTTTCAAAGTTATCGCAGTAAATCTCAGTAAATGCCGAGCGAAGACTTGTAAAATATCATTATTATTATTATATTATAATGAGTTTGCAAAAATAGAAATCTTAACCGCTTTAAATTATAGTATTACTGCCTTTGATTCTGACAACTATTTGGCAGAGTTGAAATCTAGTACAAATTTTAAACTGAAATAAGTAGTACTTACAATTAGGTTATTGGATGAATTATCAGAATTTGTGAAATTTCTGATAAAAATGAAAAACGGAAAGATGGGAAATTTGCGTTATTAAATTGTATTTCACATAAGTAGTGTTCGAATTAATAATAGTTTTTAGAATATTATTTAGTTTTTTTTTTTTGATAATTTATTTTAAAGCACATTCGAAAATAGATAAAAAGTAGTGTTAGCATCATGGTTAAATTATGAGAAATAAAAAGCTCGTTTACCAATTTATCCATGATTAACACATGCAATAAATATATCAAATAGGATAAATTCACTTATAAAAATATTAATATGGTATTAAATTTGTAGCCTACAAAACGGACTTTAATAGCGTAGATAGGAAGTCCATCATTATGTCCTATAATTCTAGTTTTCTAGTTTATCTTTTAGTTTAGAAACCTTTAGATCACGTTATTTTTATCTCCTGCATTTTTGTAGAACAAGTAACTAAAAATAGTTTGAATAAAATTATTGGAATAAATTTTTAAATCAAATTTTTTTCATATTTTATTATGATGTTCTTAAGTGTATCGATTTATTCCAATAATACTATAGTAATGATTTAGAATTTTTAGATTGTACATAGTCACTCCGGCAGTTATTAATCAATTTTAAGTATGTTGGGGAACATAGATTTAGAACTACCTCAGATTGAATTGCCAATTTTTATATTTGCATGAGATTTTTTTAAGTTTAATCCTTTATACTTAACTATAGTAACTCTATAGCGATAACGCATGTTTTCTAATTTATTCTCTACTAAACAATTACTACAAATATTGATAGCTGATTCTATTACAAAACGTTTGATAAATTTGCATGTTTTTTTGCATTAATTTTTATGAGAATCTATTATTGCGAGATAAAGTTTCATATGAGACTACATTATTTTCTCTGGATATTAATACAACATATTTTATAATATAATATAGACATAACAAATGCATGTATTTATTATGAAAATTTACTATTTAATTTTTTATGAGTATATGTATTAACATATGTGTATTCACATATGTACATACATACTATATGCTATATAAATCAATGAACAGAATAAAAACTTAAGCACCTGCTAAAGTTAAAATAATTAAACTATTAGTAAATATTTGCTAATATTGCTAATGTTCTCATTTTTTATAACAATTCTATTCACTTCTATTTTATTATCACTATTTTTGTGAATTAAGTATTTACTGCAACTACAAAGTACTTTCTACAAAATATCGTATTAATCTGTTTTATATAAATATGTTTTATGCATTATTTTGGTTAAATAATGCCTTAGCTATATTGCCTATTAAAATATATTTTGTAATCTTTATCATTTTTTTAATTTAATTTATTTTCAATACTTTGAAATATCTATGTTTATGACAATTTATACAATAAAACTTCTGAGCTTTGTCTGCTGTAAGATGATGACCAAATTAATAGTTTTGAAATTATCAGATATCAATTAAATAAATGCCCGTTTATTCTATAAGTTTTGCCTGTTTCAATAAATATTAAGATTAAAATTTCAATAATTTATTAAGTCTTTGATTGATAATTTCTCGATTCCAGTAATATAAATTTCAAAAGTTATTATGTATTGATTTCTTTCGTTCAAATATTGAAAAATTAATTTATTTTATAATTTTTGAAATATGGAATTACTAATAGCTAATATAATTTGTAGTTTTGTTTATCTGTATTGGTTTTATATTATATTACTATTTTTTTCGATCTAATATTAATCATACGTATCAATTCATATAGGAATCAAATATATAAGTTTCGAAATTACTTTGCTCTAATTATTAGGCTTGTTCTCGATTTATAAGGAAGAGCCCGAAAGGCTCAATTTATTCGAATACAAATTAAATACATTTATTTTTTGAATAATAGGTATTGACACTACTATAAAATTTTAATATACAAATTTTTTATGACATATTAAAACTATGTGACCAAAATATTTCATGACATAGTAAAACTATGTGACCATCATAGTGGCATCGTTAACATTACCATCTTGGGTGGAAAAGGCTCAGATCTTTTAACTGTATTCTTTGTGTATTATTGCTAAATATAAAAAATATATCTAAAGTGATTTGAAGATGAATTTTATAAACACCCTAATTTGATACTTTTATATAAAGGAATCATTTTATGTTTGTCATTGCATAGCGTAAATACCATTTTGATCTCGATATGATTCCAATGTATACAAGTAACATTTTTTTCACAATCATGCTTTAAACTTTGTTTCGGACCTTTTATATTACTTAATTTCATAAAATAGTGGTTTGCTATATTATCGCACGGTGCTTTTGTATTTAACACATTGAACACAAAATCAAATTAAAACAAAACAAAACGAAATCCATCCGACTTTGCATCGCCGGTCGTGTGCAGAAAGCCTCGTTCTTCAATTGTTTACTGGACATGGCTGCTGGGCACGCTGGTTGCCCGCAGAGGGATCCAGGGCCGGATCTTTATCTATGGAGCAGCCTTTGATGACTCCTAAGAGGGATAATAATCATCGAGATGAGGACAGGAGGGAATCTGATGAACATGTCAATTCTTTGACGGCCTTGGTCAGAAGAGGCACCGCGAGGCGATCATTCAGGTGAGATAAGCATAGAGAAATATTATTTTAAAATTACAACAAAGGTTTTCCACAGTTTTGTCTTGATGGATATTCACTAAATGAAACAATTCTCAGGTCAAAAATAAAATACAGTATAGGTCTTTTAAAGTGGAAGGATTTGCTACTGATAGCTCTTCAATCAAGAACTTTTACTAACTTACTTCACTTGCTGTAAACTAGCTTATTGAAACCAAACTCATTAGGACTGTTCTTGATAATTTTTATAATTATCAATTAAAATTTTGTTTTTTATACTTATATGTATACCTTTATCAGCATTTTCCAAAGTTGAATTTTGCTGTCCTAATTCTTTATCTTTGCAAAGTATTCCGATTTTGGCATAACTTACAACACATTACTTACATCCAATTCATGTTTACTAATACATTAGATTTCTAAAATGATTAGTTACTAAATTTTTAAAATTACATGGCTAATAGAGACTGTTCTCAAAACTATTATTTATTTAGTTCCTCTTTCTTATTACTGTTACTCATATATTTTTCTAATTTTTTTCAGAGGAGGGAAAAAGGTGAAGGATGCTTTGCGTTCGGTAAAGTTCAACGTTCGATGTTTCCCTAAATGCTTCTATTAATTATTGCTTCAGTGAATTATTGGCATATAATTGATGTATGATTTTGAAACCAAAATTGTATTTTATGATTTTTTTTTAAAATTGTGTCATAGACAAACTCGCATTAGAGCTTCGGTCACACGTTGTTCGTTAACAAATTTAAAAATCAAAAAATTTTAAACATATATTTTTCTTATTGTTGCTTAAAAAAAATACATAGCACTAATAATAAACTAAACAAAAGAAATTTTAGCAATCGATGATAATTCTAGTTTATTAACATAGACTTTTTTGAGAAATGCTTTTACATACATATTTCATATTTAAAAATATATATATATATATATATATATATATATATATATTTATTTTGCATTAAAAATGGTTTAATGAAGTTTTGAGAAATATAAATTTATAATAGACTTGATAATCTATTAGGACAATGTGAGCATGACCGCGGCTTAAGTCAACATATGTATGTTAAGTCAACAATACTTACATTTTAATCTGAAAGTAATAATTAATATACCCTAATATTAATATAATATAAAATAACGTTATCTGTTCCGTAATCAATTTCAATTAACGTGCGTTTATAATTAAAAATAATTGGTTTCAAAAAATGATAAATTTGCAACACAAAAAATTTAATACATGATGAAGTGTATAAATGT